CCATGACAAACTTCTTCATGATATACATTATTGCCACTGCTTGTTTCAAGCTACAAAAGTAATAGGACATAACTATGTATGGCATGAATGGTAAAGTGCCTCTACATGTATTGCAGGCATGTTTGGTTTGTTCTGTTTCAATGCCTGAAATACTTCATTTGGCTGTGCACAGTTTCTCCATCTTGAAAAGTGGCTTCTCACCATTTTCTGAACACAACTGATGAGGAAAGGATTGGAACTAATTCTAGAAGGTGGTGGAAAATAATACATATTTACAAATGCAATAAAACCCATTGTAGTGTTTTAACAGTGGACAAACATAGTCCCACGTGGCATGGTAGAAAATGTCCTTTTTGTGCATTGTCTCCTTGCTTTGTGCATGTGTTTTTGGCGACGTTTGGTTTAAAGTTCATGTCTGAGTCTTTTTACAAGTATCTCTCCAGCTCCAGCACGTCAATCTCATCGTACGGACTGTAAGGTCTGCCTGAGCCGTTCTGCCTGGAGCTGTGCCTCTCTGTGTTGACTGGAACAAAGTGGGAGCTGGGGTCAAAGTCTCTGAGAATGGTCTTGGCGATCTGTGGCAGCTGCATAGAGTCGTGGATGGAGTAAGGGTCGTCAATCTGGTCGCAGAATGGCGCCAGGTTCTGCAGGGACCAGGAGAAGTGGTCGCTCGTCGGCTGGAACTCTTCAGCAGGCGGTGTCAGGACGGACGACTGCCACCAGTCCTATCTGACAGTTAGCTAATACATGATTTTGTGTTTCCAGAAGATTTTTGTTAAATGTTATAATTACATGTACTGACAATGAGAAGAGGGTACGTGGCATATTTGTGTTACCCTTAGTCTTACCGAGTACATTTTGTTCAGTCAATCATGTGCAATATTAGTTTTAATGTGAATGTAACTCCCTCATTACACTTCCTTGGAGAAATATTTAATTCCTGAAATGCTACAGAGGAAGTATGGACCAAACATTTAAATACATGTAGACTAAAGTACTGTCTACTAGTAGATGAATTTTCAAGCTAAGACTCCAAATTTTAAATGCATAAGTTATAACCATCACTGCATACTGCGAAACCATCCTTTCAAATCATCCTACTGAAAGAATGAACTTTCCTGTTCCACATGCCTATCCGCCCTATGTTTACACAGTCTAATGACTTGAAATCATCATAGGCTGCAGAATGACAGAACATGTCATTTGGTTGATGGATGGATGTCAGTGGATTCAAACAAGGCTGTCATGCATACATAAATAGCTTTATACCATTGCAGGTTTCTCACTGGCAAGAACATTAAAATTCTACCTACAGATAGCTTTTTTTATATTATAAATAAGACATCATTTTACATATTCAACAAGCACTTTCAAAGTATAGTTTCTGTCTGCTTTTGAGTTGAACAAAAGTCAGTATTTCTTCGGTAGAACTGAGGTGTTGATGAAGTTGTTGATCCACATTTTTGTCCACATTTAAAAGACTTCCCCTCCAGCAATTCAAGAAAGGGATTCTGAATGTTTTACCTAAGAAGAAATTAGGTCACAGGGATAATCATCTTAAAAGGTGGAGGCCATTCCCTGTGGAGATTCATCTTTCACACAAAACAATCAGAAAACAAAACAATAGTTTTTTTTTTTTTTTCATGTTTGTTGAACCAACATTTCTGTGTCTTTGAAACCATTTGTGAATAGGCTGATTATTTCCATGCATGTATTGAACGATTGTGTAAGACTTGGCCTATATATGGTATTACAGGTAGTAGGGCTTTTCACAGTGTCACACCTAGCAGCTGAAAGATAATTACATCTGTCAGCCCAGGTGACTGGTTAAAGATTTGCTGATAACCTGAAGAGGTTACAACATAAATTGGACACTTCTAGAAGGAAATCTAGTTCTTTTCATTTTCTTTTGTGAGATGAAGGGAAGCTAGCCTCCTGAAGTGGCTGCAATTTCAGTGGGAAGAGTTAGGGACTGGACAATAGACAGATAACATTCCAGGGGAGTTGGTCTGCTAACGGGAATGGTAGCAAATGTACTTCTTGGCAGAACAACTCCCCTGCCATGCTATCTGTCTACTTGGCCAGTTTTCTACTCTTTCCAGCCACTTCTGAAGCCTGGTGGAGGCTGTTACATGTACATATGTACAATGTATATATAAAAGGGAGGCTGCAACAAAGGATTATACCACTGACATGGGGGGAGATGTAGAGAGATCACATGTTGCTGTTTTCTTCTTGCCCATCCGCTCTTTGTTTCGCCTTTGCCACCTCACAGGCCCTGGTTGGGATGGGTTTTTGTCCAAACAATCTATCTCTCCATTCGGTCTTGGCACTGTAAGTGCTGTGGGTGACACTGTAAATGTTCTACCTACAAATTAAGGCAAGTAGGTTCTTGGAAGGGGGGGGGATCATGCAAGACATAAAAAGGACGAGGAGCTTCTTGGAAAGGGGTAGCCTCTTGAAACGGCAAACTGTCACTTGAGTGGACTAATTCCCCTGGCAATTGTTATCTCTATTTGGCCAATTTCCTCTCTTTCCAGCCACTTCCTGAAGCCTGGTAGAAGCTAATATAAGAGGTCAATGGAAACTAATTTATAGGAAGGTGTGTGTGGAAGTCAATCTTTCCACTTGTGTTTAATCTGAATCATATATTAAATAGTTATGGTAGCACTTTGGTTTAGTTATATTTGGCATGTACCAATTCTATAGTATTCTTGGTGTTGAGCAGAAAGTAATTGTTTTCGGACATCACACACTGGAATTGATTGTCTTCCAGCAATTGTAAGGTGTGGTACAAAAATCTTAATTGAAGTACCTCCTTCAATCGCTTGTATAGCCCCACTGGGTTCAAGAGTCACAAGTGGTTAGGATTTGGCCCTCTCACCGGAAAGTCCTGGGTTCGATGCCCAGTGTTTGAACCACTGGAACATCTATGGGCAGGTAGACACACGGAGTCTCCTGGCTCCTGGGACACCAGGAATTGAACCCGGGCCAAACCCGGGCAGCCAGGTCACAAATCCAATGCCCTAACCGCTAGGCAAAAAGGTCTGGACCAGTTGGACATGTCAGTTGGTGGTGCTTGAAACCCACTGTAACACTTGACAATGTATGTTTTTCTACTTTTTAACCAGGGTTTTGATTTGTTAATCAAGGGCAGGATTCAAACCCTGATCCATGCGCATGATTGCTGTCCACTAGGCCATTGTAATACAGTGCCTTGAATGCTGTCCTCTCCAATCCTCAACATGACTTTTTTTGTTTGCAAAAATCCATAGTCCATGCCCCCTCAGCCACAGTCCATGTGCATGTAGTAACACCTGTTAAGGGTTGTACAAGCCCACATAATCCACTAATCATAGCCTGGCACTGTGGAGATTTGGGGATCTTACGGTCCAAATACCCTGCAGCATTATAATTTATATACTTGAATCACTCTGTTACGGTTACAAACCAGTATGTTTTGACACCTCTACATGTATGTACTGACATTCCAACCTATATATATATGTTTTGACAACTCTAACCCAATGTCAGAATGTACAAGCATCAGAACATGGAACATTACACTATCCCTGCAAGCTGTGATCATGATTTGAGGCAACACGAAACTCATTTTTTTCTCCAAATGTTGTTCTGCTAAAGGACTGTTATACTGTGTCCAGTTATACTGTATACAGTACATGTGTCCAGACTTTAAAAAAGCATTCTAATGTACCTACTATAAACAGCTACAGTAACAGTGTCTGTTCAATAAAGTCAACTAAAGTTATGAACAGCCACAGTGTGGGTTCTGAAATGTACTGTTGTCAGGACTGGCCTTATGTATGGGTGTCACAATCACTCGGTCACCTGCAAAATGTGATGATCAATCATGTCATATTTTGACACCTTAAAATTGGTGTCTCTCGGATCTCCCGTTCTTCACAACAGATGAGCACCTCTCATGTGAACCCTCGTGTGAGTACAGTCCTAGCATGGATGAAAAGTCTCTGTGGCAGATTAAAGTCCAGTGTGAAGTGACACCTACATGATGTGATGGCAGGTTGTGTAGATCTGGTGTAGCAGCTTGGTGTAACTGTTGCCTTAACTTACTTAAAAAGCAACCTGTCATGTCAGTAATGCTTGATTTCAAGATAAGTAATGCGGTATGTGGAATTAAAGCGATCAATTACGTTTCAGAAAAAATTTACCAACACATACCATTTTTACTGTGTTACGATTAACGGTGATAGCTTGATAGATAGCTTGCTATGCCTGACAAACAAAGGTATACAGGCCCTTCTTGTAATCTGAAAAGTCGATGTGGCTTATCTTGAATATGTAAAGCAGACTCATCCAGACATCGCCATGTAGGTTTCATTGTTTTATTTCAATTTCTTGAAGGTAGTAAAAAATATCTTTTAGACGTACAAAACTTACATACAGCTCCTTCCCTCACCCCTTCTCGGGCTATATGCGAAAACTGTACAGTAAAATAACATGTTCAACAATGCCATCTTATTAAAATTATCCTTCCATACTTAGCTTATATTCCCCCTCACCAGTTGTAACTGTAATGATTACAATGGTTCTCTCCTTTGGCAACTAAAAAGGAACTATGTACAGGTTTCTTGGCAGTATCACTTGACGTAGTTGATACCTTATGATATAACTGTACAATCACATGCAAAAACTTTGGCTGCTTTTCCTTTTCCAGTCTTACATTCAATTAAAAGTGATAGCTGACCCCTTTTCTTGATGGAGAAAGTTATTGCAAGCATTTTACAACCAATCATTATCATACACAGTTAGTGCATCTTCTTATAAGCTTATTACAATGTACAGCCACCATGACAAACTTCTTCATGATATACATTATTGCCACTGCTTGTTTCAAGCTACAAAAGTAATAGGACATAACTATGTATGGCATGAATGGTAAAGTGCCTCTACATGTATTGCAGGCATGTTTGGTTTGTTCTGTTTCAATGCCTGAAATACATCATTTGGCTGTGCACAGTTTCTCCATCTTGAAAAGTGGCTTCTCACCATTTTCTGAACACAACTGATGAGGAAAGGATTGGAACTAATTCTAGAAGGTGGTGGAAAATAATACATATTTACAAATGCAATAAAACCCATTGTAGTGTTTTAACAGTGGACAAACATAGTCCCACGTGGCATGGTAGAAAATGTCCTTTTTGTGCATTGTCTCCTTGCTTTGTGCATGTGTTTTTGGCGACGTTTGGTTTAAAGTTCATGTCTGAGTCTTTTTACAAGTATCTCTCCAGCTCCAGCACGTCAATCTCATCGTACGGACTGTAAGGTCTGCCTGAGCCGTTCTGCCTGGAGCTGTGCCTCTCTGTGTTGACTGGAACAAAGTGGGAGCTGGGGTCAAAGTCTCTGAGAATGGTCTTGGCGATCTGTGGCAGCTGCATAGAGTCGTGGATGGAGTAAGGGTCGTCGAATCTGGTCGCAGAATGGCGCCAGGTTCTGCAGGGACCGAGGGAGAAGTGGTCGCTCGTCGGCTGGAACTCTTCAGCAGGCGGTGTCAGGACGGACGACTGCCACCAGGACGCGTCGAAACCCGGGTGTACCTGGACATCGGTCTGGAACGGATTGGAGAGCTCGCACTCCGAGCTGGTTTCTCTCTTGACGTTTACAGAAGAATAGTTTGGCATGTCCGTTTTGCTGAAAGTGGCGAAGGCCGGGAGCTTGTTCTGGAACTCCTCGTGGGACATGACGTTCTCGATCATCAACGGCTTCTTGTTGTACTGCTCGTCGTAGAAGTTGAACTCGTTGTGTTGTTGCTGTGGAACATTGGCGGGGTTGAAGAAGGGTGAGTCGCAGTTGGACATGGCGGGAGAGTTGGAGCGAGAGGCGTAGTCTTCGGACGTGCCACTTGTCGAGCTGGGGTACTCCACCGTGGTCTCTACTTCGGAAGGCGGGGAGGGGTACAGGGTGTAGGGCATGGGAGACCGCGTTGACGAAGAAGGCAGGGGCACCGCCTCGGAGCTTCGTGGGATGGTCTTGCTGGGACGAACGGACTTGGTTGGGCGCTTGCCGGGGTGCTTGCGCTTGTAGTGGGCAGTCATGTTGGCCTTGCAGGGCGTGGCGTAGTCGCACTCGGTACAGAAGATGGGCTGCTCGCCAGTGTGCTTCCAGCGATGGGCGACCAGGTCTCGCGAAAAGTTCCCAACAAAGTCGCACTGGTTACACCTACAGAGGAACAAACAGAGGGGGAATGGTAAGATTGGCATGGCTTTAGGTGAATAATGAACAGTACCAATTATGTCAACCCGTCCAATATTTTTCGAATAGTATGGCCTTCCAAATCCCATACATGTTCCAAATCCTCATTATTTACAGCATATTAAAGTAAAGTAGGTTCTAACTACACGAACAAACAAATATGCTTATTGAGACCTTTTTGTAAGGTAATTGCAATCATTACAGGTGCATGTATCTGAGTGCAAGAGTATCTGTTTTGTAACTAAGTACTAGTATCTTTGTCAGGTGAATGACCTCCAGAGTTGAGGAAGCCCATCCATCCACATGTGTGTATCTGTCACTTTCTGACAGGTAACATTTAAATGGGTGTGACCCTTAAAAACGCATTTGGTAACCTTTCCGTGGTGTAGTGGGCCTATTGCCTCTCGAAACTTTCCAAAGCACCAACATATGACCATCTTGTGTGTCCCATTAGTCTAGCACAATTGGATACAAGTCTTTTTCACCTCCAAGTATCTTGTTTATGTGAGTGACTGGGTGAACTATTAACTCAGCACTAATCTCTCAACTTTGCCACACCAATTTAGCTGGAAGAGCAGCAAAGGTGGTTTAAGGTACTTGGAAGACAAAAGTTACATCCCTTTCCTTAACTTTTTATCTTTTCTCATTGAGATATTTGACAAAAGTGTTGTTTTTTGTGCAGGTGAAACTCGGAGCCTGAGGGATGGGAGATAATTACGCCGCCGTCTTAACGCATGGCTGCCAGTATTTTTGCATAATGGTGCGGAATGGCAGCCCTTCTGACACCCGGCAGCCCTGGGGCCGCCACATGCCTAGTCATGGGGGAAACCTTTGTTGACAAAAAAGTCGCTGGGTCGAGGTGTTTTGTGAAACAATAATGCGAAAAAGCTGTAGCAGCAATTTAAACGAACACTACTTCTGGAGATGCTTGGTTAACAGTTTTGTTCCTACCACTTGTTTTTGTTTGTGTCAATCAAAACATTCAAAGTTGTCAGAACGGTAGTAATTATTGGGATGAATGAGTGAATTTCTTGACTATGTCTATATTTAATGCAGGTCAGTTGTTATCTAAAGGCCTTTATGAACAATGATTCCAGGGGCTCATTATGAACATCTATTTTATCAATGGGACTTTGGGTGGGGTGAGTGTGTGACTTTTCTGATCATGTTTTCAGCATATGACATTGACTCACATCAGAAAAACTGAGGCTCCGCCCTAACCAGAAGCACTGAAACCCACTCCCTACCCATATGGATCAAACAGTTTAAACCACCTGCCAATCAGAGATAAGGGTACTTACTTGTAGGGTTTGTACTCGGGGTGCTTCTTGCGCATGTGGGAGGCGAGGTGGCCCTTGCTGGAGCCGGTGTACTTGCACATGGTGCACTTGTGGGGCCGCTCTCCCGTGTGCGTCCGCTGGTGTTCCATCAGGTGACCCTTATGGGTGGTGTCATAATCACACTGCTCGCACCTGAAGAGGGGACATTTGGAACGATCAGCAAGGTTCTGTGCAATGTCAGCTGCTTTTGTTTTACCATTTTGCTAATTCAAAACCCCGAGGACATTGGCCTTACTAACATTGTGCACTGATACGCGGAGGCAAGAGCAATGTTACAACATGTAATTAAATGAGCCCTGTCAGAGAGAACAGACTTTGTAACTGAAATGATTATACACATCTATACAGACCCCTCCCAGTAGTATAATCTGTTGTTCTAGCATCAAAATCTACGCCCAGAACTTCGAAAATGCAGCGACATGAAGGTTATGCAAATGTTTCGATGCATTATGTGGTACAGCAGGTGCGGAAATGTTGCAAAGTGCGGTAAGGTGAGGCTCACCTGTAGACCGGTCGGACTTTGCTGTTCCCTCGGGCCATCTTGGCACTCGCCCCCGCCCCGCTCCGTACAGCAGCCGGCATGTTGGTCACGTTCTTCCGGTGGTTCAAACCTAGGAGGAAGCAAAAAAGAATTGGTCACATACCGACATTAGGTTGCACCGCACATTCTGGAACCATTTTCGGTGACCACCTTCGGCGATGACATCTTGAAATGCACTCATTAATTTCAAGAAATCCCCAGCGTCACAATCATAATTTAGACGCTTCTGAATCAATATCAGAAACTTTGAACAAAGTTTTGAGTAATTATGAAAACAGAACTGAGGAAACCCGTACATGCTGCCAGTATGAGGTCGCGTGTCTTGTGCGAACGCCGCCGACGCGTTTTAAACATGGTGCAAAGACGCTGGAAGAAAATCCCGGTCAAGCCGAAAATTTACGGGACGGTAGGAACATAGTAGTGAGCTACACAACAGCGGTCTTGTTTCACAGTGGCAGAAGTCTGGGTGGTGTTATTATCTGTGCCCGGCGTGCGTTCGGGGTTATCTGGCACGCCTTTCGGGTTCAATCCAGGTCGGTAACTCTTTGGCGAGCACCCTCCCATTGAGCGTTTGTCCTTTAAAATTTAAAGGGGGGTCGTTTCAGGTTTACCTGGCCAGAGCTGTCGCGTGAGGAGGTATCTAAGGAAGGGTGTGAGATGGAGAGGCAGGCTGGATGGAGCTGGCCATGTCCTCAGTACCGGATGGTTCCCGTGATGAAGCCTGTCACCTACCCCGTAATTTGCTCGACCATGCTTGCGGTGTGCGTTTGGACTGCCCCGGGGGCTTTGAAACGTGGTAGTCCCATTTCTTTCACACAGGTAGAAAATCTACACTCTCCGTTTTTTAAAACACTTTTGGAGCTTCCGTTTTGAATATTTCGTATCCAACGTGCTAACAATAATGATTAAGTATTTTTATGTTGTACTAAATGATGTATCCAATCTTTCAGTGAAGTGTGATATTACTTAATAAGTTGTAAACTCTACCCCAGAATGAGAAGATTTCTAGTTGATGGTTTCGTCCGAACCTACTTCACACCTGTTTCACGTGATGATGGCACCTGGTTAGAGTGAACCCTGGCTGACCGAGTTCGGGATGATTCACACACATAGGCGTTCCCCAAACTTTTTGGCACATTTCCTTTGACATTTTAAAACCCACCGGAAACCGTTGAGTCAGGGCGACCAACTCAGGACCACGCCTAACAACGCCCCCCCCCCATCCTTTCTTACTTCTTTGACCTGTTGCCCGTCCAAAAAATGCAGGGTATTACAGTATCGCTTCCGGCGATTGATATAATTATGTGCTGAAGCTGCTAATACTGGTGGCTCTGGGTGACTCTATTTGGGCGCATACCTGGCCCAGAATAAAGGGACACCTTTGGTTGTTATTGTGTTAAAACTTTGTGTTCGCTTGCTTTTCTTTTGTTTTTACTGCCATATTTTGTACATAGTAAACCTTTTATACCTCGACGCGTAAGGTAAGATTGAAACAACTTAGCTCTGAATAAATTCTAGGCCAACTTTTTTGTAAGGCAATGATTAACATACTTTTCAAAGCTCTCCACAACAATGTTTAAAATGTTCAAATGTTTGTAAACACCGTCAGTATTTCTTAGCTTCCTTTCCCGCAACAAAGTAAAGATTATGATGTTAGTTGTGGATAGCCATGTCTAATTTCTCGAATTTTGTATTTTTGATTACGTTGCATGCGCTGGAGATTAATCTGTTTAATGTTCAAGCCAACCAGAGAGCTGTATTTAAACTACTTACAACATGTAAACGTTCTGGTTTGACAAAAAAAAGCACGGGCCGCTAGAAAATTACCCCACAGTTACCATGACGACAGCCAAGATTGGAATACTGTCGTCTGATCTCATCTTCCGTTGGGAATATTTTCTGTTCAAGTTTTGCACCACACTGTAGTTTACATGTCTAGTGATAAGCAAGGGAAGCATTCCTTTGTATGACTAATTCTTTTGTGCAACTAATGCACACTTGGGTGAACTTTTTTCCTCACTCAAAATGTAAGGAATCTTACACCTTGGATGGCTCGTAAAAGCCTAAACGTTTCTGCAGTTTGAATTTGTGACCAGTCAGCTAGACTTAAATGAATTTGTTATTGTGAAGTATCTTGTGTTAGAACAATAGAGATCTGGATAAACAATTTAGAACCAATGGCTTCGCTAGACTGTTTCAACTTAACAAACTTTAGCTTGTAGAAATCTGGACATTTCACACTTGTGAACACCTTGCTAGCTTTATGGTTTGCACCTGTAGCAGATAGTCCATGGTCTGGGTAACAGGTACAATGTGAGACTAGATAACATATTTGCATTTGAAGAAGCTACTGTGCCATTGAAATTCCAATTGCTCATTAAGTCATCAAGAAGTGATAATATATGCGATATGCAAATAGGTGTGAATCACAGGTATGCGATTCTGATGCTAATTTCTGGGCAGATAGGCTTCATATTGTATGGCAAGTTTTGATTATGGAAATAACTGAAACGCAAAGTGGTCGAACAGGTGTCCAAATTGGGTTTTCTATTTATGTTTTCCAAGTCAACTCTGTAGCTAAACGAGATATGATGGAAAAAAACATCAAAACATGCCCAAAATCTTCTCTGTCAACGTTTGGCATATATAACAAGGCTTCGATGCTAGGTTGAATTATCTAATTAGAAAGATTGCTTGGATTTTTAGAACGTTTGAAAGAAGCCAAAACACCGCTTTAGTAAAGTCCAGGCCGGCTGAAATATTTGAAATGCTTATTTTAACCCAAGAATGAAAATGCCAAATAGATGTCTTGGTTTCAATATCTCCACATTGCATCTACATTCTTGAAATGCACATTGAATCCGCTAATATATTGCAATGTCCCAGAGAACATACATTTTCTTCAATGGTGTAACAAAATGTGTTGTTTTTTTCGCAAATAATTGGACGATAATTCTGTCAAATCAGTTGGTGCTGGTAAATTTTGTCACGAAATACCAATCAATTTCTTCGATGTTTATGATAAACCTCCTAAGTTTTGCTCGGCGTTTAAAAAAGAACGGACAAGACGTTTGGCAAACGAACAGGTGTAAAAAAAATTCATAACAAAGCTACGATCTAAGAATAGATGTCAGATAATTTGGTCAAGGTTTCTTTGACTGTTGCATCTAGAACTGTTGCCTCAAGAACTGTTGCATCGACAGAGATTTAGAAGTAAGGGCTGACCACAGTTGGTTCTGTTCAGCTGCAGCCGCTTGGAAAGTTTTCTACACAATCGGTAATCCAGAGAATCTACTAGAAATCCTCGGATTATGGTGAATAACAAACTCATTTTGATAACCAGAGACTTTCCATAACAGCCTTTCCAAAGTTCTTTCGCAACTAGTTTTCTCTAAATCTTCACCAAAGCCCTGGACACAAAGGTTTTTGCAAGAGATTTCGTTTTAGGAAAGAACGCCACATGAAGTTGTGCGTGGGGTAATGTTGCGCGGTTTGAAAAAACAAAACCAGGTCACACTTGGGCGGACACTCGCCATGCTAAACTCCAACAGGTGTTCTTACTAGTCACAAAACAATTCTATAACAAGAGCACGATGAAAGACAGAGTAAATTGACTTACCTTTCTGAGAAAAGAAGAACAGTGCTAGCACTGGAGAGCTGTGGGTCAGCTAGGCGTGGTCAGTAGGGAGGTGGGAGCGCTGGAGAGGTGTCCACTCGGTCTGAATCGGCTGGAGTGAGACTGACCCGGACTGGTCAGGTGGGGTTTTTATACCTGTCCTGACAGGTAGATGAATGGCCGGGGAAGAATAGGCCTGGCAAGTGGTCCAGCCGGCCTGGCGCCGACTGCGCTTTTGATTCTGACCCCCTCGCGCGCACCTAATTTGCATATGCAAAAGTATGTTTTTTTCGGCAAAAGAGGGTTCGGAGATAATTTGTGGGGAAATTTGCTATAATTTGGCAGGACTTCCCTTCTAGCATAATTATTCGCTTGTAATTTTGTAATTGAAAATTTATTCAACGGATTTGAATATTCATTCGATCCTCATAGCTATGTTTCGCTATCCCATGCCGCATTCAGGCTCGATTTTTTTTTACATAAAACTACTTTGACTATATTTTACTGCTATATCTTAGATATTCTATCATAGACATTTTAGCTGTTTATACTTTCAACCGGTTGCTTAACTTTCACGAAGAAATAAAAAGAGAATAACCTATATAACAGTTAAGTCTATACCATTCTTCGCAAATTACGGAAAAGTTTTTCATGTTTATAAATATGGGCTACGAGCCTGAGACAAATGAATAAACATACACAAACAGAAAATAATGTTACGGGCGTGAAGATTTTGAATGTAGTATGTTGGGAACAAATAATAACATTTTCATATGCTCTGTGTCATAGTTTTGCCCTTTTTTACCTGCCCTGACTCGTTAGATTGTTGTTTTTTTCTCTTTCGCTGTAGTGAATTTTCATGACAATGCCATTCCTCCGTGTACGGTAGTGTGTTGTAAATATGACTCTATTGTTCCCGGGCTTCCCATTGTTTTATCATTGACACCGATGCTTCCCCGCGTCCCCTGAGTAAAAACCTGTTTGTACATGTACCTTACCTGCGTGGGAACGCACCTGTCCTCTCACTTCGCCAAACATCGGAATCCTGAAAAAAAACATCTTCCATACACTCATCTGTAGAGTTCGAAGCCCAAAATTTTTCAATGAACACACTTTCTCTTTTCTATGGTCTATAATTTTTTTCCTGTCCCCAAGCGAAAACTAATGTATGTGTCGTAATAAAAGATTGCAATCTGGCAGAATCGTCGACTCTACGTATACATGTGTGTACCGGTACAGAGATTGCGTGACGATGCTGAGAGTGTGTTAGGTTGGCCTCCTAGCTATAAATGCTTCAAGCAAGTCATTACATAAGTCTAAAGTGACGTGAATCAAAGTTAACATTGAAAAGTTCTGAATGGTTTTCAAGCGAATATCCACATGCACAGGAAAACATACAGACTCCGACCTGCATCTCTACTTTGATATGTAATTATATATATATATATATATATATATGGGGTCAAACCTACATTCTTTCACATAGTGAAAACGTATAATCGTGTCACTTTAATCGTTCAACTTAATGTGGACTACCCCAGGAAGGACTCTGTGTGCTTTTGGTAGCTCTGGACTTCCTACACTAATATGCCCTGAAAACGAGGACATTTTCACATAGGCAGTCCCTGCTCATAAATTTTGTCGAGTTAGTTTGACCACTTATGTTTTATCTAAGTCCCCGGACGATGCGCATATATGATCCAAAAGTTATCGAAACTCTTTTCGACTTTCGCTCACAAAAAGATCATCTTTTGAAAGTCACTAATCAGAGGTTGTTGCATGCCTGAGCTTTGATTTTCTTTCTTCAAACCATTCTCCAAATTTTAGGGGTCATTGACCTGCCATCCGTGCGCTAGGTATTTTCTTTGACACTACTTTGTACTTTTCCAAACCTCTGAAAAATCTAGAAAATTTGCTTGAACTTCTCACTGGATAGAAATCATACATGATAATATACTAATATGTAGAGAATGTTTTTAGTGAGAAGCGTTACGTTGCTCATTTTTTGTCAGTTTTTTCTGGACTTTTGTTACTTGGGTTGGGGTGAGATAATGACTCCGCTCCGGGTGATAATTATAGGCGCCAGATCTCACCCCACTACTGACCTACTCATCACTACTGTCAGTTTGTAGACATCTTTAAGTACCACAATCTTACTTTTAAAATCATCGCCATCTTTTCTCTCTGCTAACGCCAATATTACTTTGAACCC